GCTCGTAAGCACCTTGTCTGTGGTTTATAAATTATTCCATTTGGGTTCTTAGCCCGCTCAAAAGGATGCCCCAGGAAAGCGAAGCTAAAAAAAAAAAACCAAGAATATAAACGAAAAGAAAACATGTGCTAAATAAATAAATTGCCTGTGCGCGTAATCTGCAGCAACAACAGCCATTTCTATCAATTTTTTATGCACTTCAGGAAACGGAGTTGGCCAAGCTATTTGCTCAGCTGCCCGCGTCCTGACATAATCTCCAGCAGGGACAGGATATGCTCTCTGCTGTGACATTGAGTTTTGGGGCTTTAAGCAACTGTTGCGGACATGTGTATATACGACATGTTCATTTATATACACATCCTGTGGCGCATTTCCTGTGCGCTGCTTCACGTTTACTGCTCACATTTTATTTGATATATTAGCTACTATTTTGTGTGCACTTCAAAATCTTCAAATGCGCGCGTTCCATATAAATCAGCGGCACGCTCTCAAATACATATGTATATTTATATGATGCATTACCATGACAGCCCGACAGTTGAGAATTTTGCGTATTCGCATTTAAAAGTGCTTTTGTATACCATGATATACGGTTTGTTAGCCTTGACGCTGCCTGGCCCGATAACCGACAACTTAAACATGGGTTTCTGCTTTGTGGCATGTTCAATGTGGCGTATGCGTAATATCATTTTTTTCTCGGCTTGCCTGGCTACAGCTTTGCGCTTTGCGTTGATTTATGTGAATACAAATTGAATTCAGATTTGACAATACATATTTAAATGCAAATAATAGAAGCTACTTTTGGTTTTAATAATAAAAATATGCTCAGTTTTTGTGTGGGAATTTATATTGCATTATATATCAAGGTAGCTCATTAAATATTACAAATAAATAAATAAATTATGAATGCACTTAACCAATGCATAATTCACAGAGAATAGCAATTATTTTAACGCATTTAACCTTTTCTTTTTGCTTAGCTTGTTAGTTTATTTATTTTTATTTATATATTGTTTTTTAATATTTTTTCTGTGCGTTCTTTGTTGTATTTAAATCCAACTAAACGAGACGTAAACGCCAATATTTGTTTGTAAAAAAAAGTGGACACTGCATAAAATGAATTCAACAATCAAATTATGCTCAAGCAATTGTCAACAAAAAATAGCAATGGAATTACGCAAAGTTTTGCGTTTGCATTGCTTTTGTTTTAGCATTTTAAAAGTGCATTTTGTTGATTTAAGCCTGTGCAGCAGCGCATAAACTGCATTTGGCAACAGAGCAAATCCCTTGCTTATATCCTTTGTAAAATTGTTGAAATACAACAGCTGTTCCCAAAGGAAAATAAATAACATGGCAAAATATATTCAATTGAGCCGTTGTAATATTTTCACAGAGCAAATCCCAGTGTTGACAATGCCTTCAAAATGAATATCTAGCCACGCATATAAATGGCAAAAAATACAAATGCGACAAAAATAAACAGAAAAAAACAGTCGTCGGAGGCAAATCGAACTTGAAATGGCCTTAAAAAAGACGTGGACGATGCGGGAATATCTATGAAATGAAAGATACTTAAAGCTTATATTCTACAAATATCTAGTTTGGTGACTCTAACCTAAGAGATTCTTATCGATTGCTTGAAAACGGCGCAAGTTATCGATTATCGGAAACAACTCATCCTTTTGTAAATTAATACGGTCAGAAGAAGGGTGAGACGGATGGACATGCGTACGGACAGCCAGACGGGCAGACAGACGGATATGGCTAGATAAACCCAGACATTGCTGCTCATCAAAAATATATATACTTAATGGACTCGCAGATGACTTCGTCTGCCTGTTACATACATTTGCACAATATCAACATAGCCTTTTTACCCATTTCTAATGGGTTCAAAGTATAAAAATAGAACAAAAAATAGATATTTTTTATAGCCAATTTGAAATTTCGCTCATCAAAAACGGGCAGTGTACAAAAAATGCCCTCTGCTGGCCACATTGTGGGCTCAGCTCGGCAAAGATATATACATTTATTTGCTATAATACCTCCGACAAGGTCGTGCAGCTACTCAGTTTTTATGATTGTTGAAAAACACACAAACACTGAAATTAATGCTATTCTTTTAATTGCATTTAATGGGCGCGTGAAAACGGTAGCGATTGTTTATTTAGGCAAGCATACGCTTTTTTTTACACACATAAATCACAGGCAATGCTTTTGCGCCAAAGGCAAAGTGAGATTTTATGATTTATGTGCCCAATAAATTGGAAATAAAAGTGATTTATATATACATAAGTGATAGAAAAGAAGTGCTCAAAAGATTTGCCATAAACTATACATAGATGTTGAAAGTTTTGACAGCCAACGAATTGAAAATAACACACACACACACACACGCATACCAAAACTCATCATGAAAGCCATAGTCATGTTTGCGAGTTTTCATTACTCATACGTCACGTGTGCGTCTGGTGGAAATGCGTTGCGGCTGTCAATGAAAAGCCATTGGCGAAAGTTATCGAAAGTTTGCGTCATGCGAAATGCAGGTCGAAAGCCAAAACAAATTTCATGCGCCTCAGTAGGTTCTTCTTTATTTTTTTTTTTTGTTTTTAATATGTGCCACAATTTTCTTCATATGTGTGTGGCACATAAAAGAGAAAAACGATTTTAACATTGTTTTTCACTATGCGACGTGCTTTTGCATGGCCAAATAGATGCTGAGCATCGACTCGAAATGCTCGTACATTTACTGTTTTATGCATTGGACTTGCCACATTTATTGAAGTTGCCGCGCAGCCTCCCTCGCCCCCTCTTCTTCCCGTTTCAGAAAAAAAACACACACGCAATTTGCGCTGCTTACATGCGAGCTGATGAGTGTTTGCCTCATGCCTTGGCCTAGGCATTTTTTATTGCTAATTTCTGTTATTGCCTTGCGTGCGGCCTGTGTGTACACTCGTAAAAATATTTTTATTAGCACAAGGCGCTCTGACACGACCCGCACCCCACCCCCCCACTTTCCCACTTCTACAACAACCATCCCCAGCCATTACGTCCACGCAAAGCGAACGCGCGCTGCAAAGTATGCTATGTTATTTTTTGCGCACATTCAACATACGCTCGCTATCAATAGCTCAAGTTTTGGCTTTATATTGGCCTGTCGGGCTCTTCTTTTAGTTACACCAAAAGCCACGGCCCCTACTCTCGCTCTTAACTTTTTGGCACACCTTTTTTGGCTTCAGCGCTTTGTCGCGCCGTTGGACTCGTAAAACTTAAGTGCTGCCAGGCCGAAATTTGCGCCCCCTTCCCCTTCCCCTGCCAACAAATTGGCAGCACTTTTATGCCAGCTAATAACCAAATTTGTCTGCTCAGCTCTAATAAATATATAAGCCCGCATTATCAAGCTGCAAGTGTTGTTGTTGTTGTTGTTGTTGTTGTTGTTGTTGTTGCCATAAAACGTTTACACTTTTATGTGGCATGCAAAGTGTTGCGCATACAAATGCAGCCGTATTTTGCCAACTTTACCCATACTCCAACCGTTTCCCCTACTTGGCACTCTATCAGTTTGTTAGGCACTTTCCACAATACATTTCTGTGCACATTTTCTCGCTGTTGCTTTAAGTGCTGACTGCAATTTGCCTAAGCGATAAGATTACCCGCAACTAGAAGTGCGTGTGTGTGCATGTGTGTGTGTTTTTCGCAGCTATTATCAGTTAACGCCAGCAATCGCACCTGGCTGACTGAGCTGCTGCTTCAAGTTCTATCGTTCTGCCACGCATGATTGCAGCTATGTTCTGTGCCAAACCACCTCCCCCACGCCTCCATTGTGCCATGCCCCATACCCACCGCAATTTACAGTGGCTTCGCAAATCTGTGCTCAGCTAACTGGATTTGGCTTTCAACTGCCTGTTGACTGTTGCGGCCATTCTTTGTTTCGGGCTATTTGGTTCGATACGCATCCGGCTCAACGCCTTATCGACGGCTGCAAGTTGTTCGTGCATGTGTGTGTGTGTGGCGCGCATATTTACTCAGCACTAGACACAGTTAGGGTTTTGGTGTGCGTGTGTGTGTGTGCGTTAAATAGTGTATGGTCAAACTTATTTGCCTGTTTGGCCAGCTGCCTGCACTTGAGAAGAAATTTCATTTGACATTTGTAAAATTCTATCGAATACTTCGAAAAAGTTTTCAGCAAGAAAACTCAATTAGAATTGATGACATTTCCTTAACTTAAATGACTTAATTTAACTTGAATTTATCAAATTGTTTATTTTATAATTTGTTGTAAGTTATTTTTGAACAGAATTTTTAGTTTTGCTTTTATTTATTTATTAATAAGAGTAAGTATGACATACCATATTATTTATTAATTAACTAAGACCGAGAAATCACAAAGCAAGTGCAAAATTCTAAGCAAACTTTCGAATTTAAATTCTTAAGCTCGCAGTGCCGACTGTCTTCTATCCACATAAACTGAATCGAATTGTTAAGTACTTTTATGGACTATTTACTACGCTCTTAGTTAAGCATTCCGAATGCCATTTAAATATATTTAATTTATGTTGCACATTTGCCATAAACATTTCGTAAGCTACCATAAAAATTAATTGCATACTTTTGGGCGTTTCAATTAAAACGCTTGACTTGCAGTCTATATGAGGAAAATGCATTAAAATAACAAAATGAATAAATTGTGCATACGTTAAGCACACATCCACACACCTACACACACACACACACAGTCGTTCTGAACTGGCCACAAAACCAATTAAATTGCGGCTCAAACGAACTGTAAAACACAAAAATATGCGCGCATGCAATGAAGCGTGAGCAGCACACACACACACACATGTACGTTAACACATGTATGCACACATATTTATATGCACTTGAAAGTTATGAAAGGCTTGCCTAGATTTTGGAGCTGGCCCAAAAGCCATTGGGTCGGCGCACATATTAAAAGCCAGCATGTGGCACCGAAAACTAATTGCAACATTTTTGCTTAGTTTTGCAGCACTGTTTTCTTTGAATGCAGCAGCCGCACCATGGCTGAGCAGACCAGCAACAGCAGCAGCAGCAGCAGCGGCAGCGTCAGCAGCAGCAGCAGCAGCAGCGGCAGCTCGCACATTGCCGCCGAAAGTGGACCCGATTTTGATGCACTGCGCGCCGCGTGCAATGCGCGCTTGAATAGCAGCCACCAGTTGACAGGTAAGCGTAGATGCGACATGCCACATGCCGCATGCCATAGCACAGTACAGTTCGCTTATAAACTCGTCTCTTTAGGTTCCTACTGTGCCGGCACTTTTGATGGCTGGCTTTGTTGGCCCGACACGGCCGCCGGCAGTTCCGCTTATGAGCTGTGCCCGGACTTCATCACCGGCTTTGATCCGGCGCGTAAGTGCCTAAATTTTGTTTGTTTTCACTTTTGTTGTTGTTGTTATTGTTGTTGTTTATTGACTGCCACAAAGCAGCAGCCGCTTTTGACCAGTTCTGATTATGACAAGCAGGCCAAACGAGAAGCCAAATATCAAACAGAATTTATTAAACAAATAAGCAACGCACTCAAATGTCAGGCGCAAGAATACAATGGAACGGAAACGGAAATGCTGCATGGCAGCGCCCCGAGCAGGCACACACACACACACATACAATACACATGCGTACACAGCTTACTCACACATGCGTAAATAAACCGCAAAGCAAACCCCACCTGGTTTGCTAATTGGCCGCATTCCCTTGCGTGGGCGAGCTTTAGGCCGCACTTCCGTTTCCGCTGCTCTGGAATTAAAGCATATGTTTATTTTATCCCTTAACTGCTTTTAAAAGCCGCGAACAAATCAATTTTTTTTAAGCTTTGATTTAAGTACACACACACACACACACAGACATGCATAGGCTTCGTGTCTGCTCAGGCATAAAGCAGGCGCTTATTTTGTTGTTGTATTTTCTTTACTGCTTCTTGAAAATACTTATATGTACATATTTGCCAGTCGAGTGCCTGTGAGCCGCAAAGACTGTTGCGGCTTGCTGTTTTTTCGTCAGGTGGAAATCAATAACTGAAGTTTCGTTCGAAATATGTTTCTTATGCTAGAGAAAAAAACCCGAAGAAAAGCGAAAAACAAACAGCTTACAGCAGAGCATTGTTCAAGTTTTCAAGTATTTCAAAGTAATTTGTGCAAGCTCTTCAGTCAAGTTCTTGTAAAATACACCAACTAACACTCAGCCACAAGACAAAGTCAAATAAAAGCCAGAAACTTGCCCAAATGCCAATAAGACAAGTGCCACTTATATATTAAATTATTTTAATAAAACAATTTAACACCGCTAAGCCTTAGATATTAATTTTCAGTATGCCAAAAAACGTCAGAGTTGAGTTTGTAATGCAAAACTATTGTTAAAATTGGAGAGAAACGCGTGGAATGTTTCTGAATTGCAATTATATATGTGCCAGATGCTTGACTATACGTCAGTGTAGAGGCACGCATATTGTTTTATGACGACAATTAGGCGCGATATATCCATGATATATTATAGCTCTTTAATAATAATAATCAGAAAAAGCTAAGTAAAGAAAACAAACGGAAAACAAAGAGAATAACAATAGTACAATATTTTGAGGCAGTTATCAAAGGGTCAAATTCAGTGTCAGTCTCGCTGCGCTGTTGAGACGAACACAACATGCAATACTGCCATATATATGTATATATATATATATATATATATATATTTGCTGTAAAATTGGCTTTGGCTGGCAAGCATTGACATATGTATATATATATGTATATATATATATATATATATATATATATATATATATATATATATACATATGTCAATATACATATGTCAATACATATATATATACATATGTCAATGCTTGCCAGCCAAAGCCAATTTTACAGCATATCTATTTACCAAACACTTACTTAATTAATTAATTAGAGTATTCAAAATAGCTACAGGCATTGTCTTAGTACGATTATCGTATTATTAACTCAACTGACACACATTCACACAGCATTAAACTAGCTATTAACACACCCACACGCACACACACACACACACACATGCACACAACATTAAATAAGCTATCAACACACACAGACACATACAGCATTAAATTAACTATCCATAACAAGCTTTCCACTTAAAGCACATTTCGCAACATACAAAAATGTTCACATTTCACGCTATCAAAAACAAAGCTTGATTAGAACAGCAAAACAGCACGCGCTTTCCCTTTTAATTAAATAGATATATTCCGAATATTCAGTATGGAATATCATAAACCGCAAATACGAAGAACTTCGCGAATTAGCCAAGCATATTCCCGGTTGTTGGCTCGCGGGCTGTGTTTTTGTTAGCCAACAACAACAGTATACAGTATACAGTATACAATAATAATGAATTATGCAAAACTGCATTTAATTGTTTATGCTGCGAAAAACAACAAATTTAATGAAATATTAAAGACATTTAAAAAGCAAATATGCAGCAAGCGTTTAAATATTCACAATCAAGTGCTGTGCGGCAGCAATTTATGGGATACATCGTGTGGCATGTCGATTGTTGCATGAAACGGGGCCGGGCCACGCCTACAGCGACCATGCAACAGCAACATCACGTGTCTGAGCGAAAGTTGAATGACATTTTTGTGTGTTGTTTGTGGCAAAAGAAAAAATAATAATATATGTACAAATATGACATGGCTAGCACTAGAGAGGGGCGGCTGGGTCGGGCAGGGGAGCAGGGGGCAGCAGTTGTGTCGTGTTTAACAATAAGCAAATGTGGCTTACAGCACATTTGGCTTATGACTCGTTTTTTGGCCAGCACCTCGCCTGTGGCTGAGACAGCTGGGGCTGCGGCTGCGGCAGCCGGCAGCGCCTCGGGGTCGCCAGATTGTACAAGATTATGTGCTTTGGCAATGCGCCGCCATTAACTTTTATGGCACTTCCGTTTGGGCGGATGTGGCAGCAGTAGCAGTAGCTATGGCAGTAGCAGTAGCTATGGCAGTAGCAGTAGCTGTAGCAGCAGAAGCGGCAGCAGCAGCAAACATTTTTTGTTGTCTTATTTGCCACACAGAGCGTATACGTGATTTTTTTGCGACTCTGCGTGCCAAATGGCGATAAAAAGGTAAGTCCAAAGAGTGGAAAAGAGATAGAAAGAGTGAGAAAGGGATAGCGTGGGCATGCATTGCTGACAGCGCTTCACCTGTTAAATTCCCAACGGAACAGGCAAATGCCTGAGCTCGTTTTTTGCCCCATTGACCAAGAACACAATTCGATGGCCTCAACAATAGTTGTCGCTGCGGCAAGTATGTTTGTGTGTGTGTGTGTGTGGCAAGCGTTTCTTTCAACAAGTTCGATAACAATTTAACAATAGCTCGACAATTGCATAACTCAACGTAGCCAAGGCATTGTCGCATGCTGTAGACATTCCAAACTTTCAAAGGAAACGATTTTTATGGCCAATTTCAATTTCAACCTATTTGGGGCATTGTTATTATTATCAATATTGTAGCTATCATTTTATAAGCGCCTTATCCACTAGATTGTAAGGATTTGTCTTGATAATAGTAAGCAAAAAAAACATTGTCAAATTAAAGTTATTTTTAATAATATTAAATGGGGGTTTTATTATTTAGTCAACCTTTAGTTCCGGTAAAATGACATCTAACCGCAACCTTTTATGGATATATTTGAAATGGAACCAATTAAATTTTAAACACAAACAATTAGTTGCGGTTTAGCCGCTTACGTGGCGTATACGCAATCCACGTTTTAGCTTAATGCAAATGCAATTTATGGGCGGGCCCCAAGCAAATAGTAGCCGAAACGAAAATTTAATTTAAATATCAATTTACATAATCCATGACAAAATTCTATATCGGACAATTAAGCAGTATACCCTTTGAAAGTAGGTTGAAAGGGCATTAAGTGCTTTGTGCTTAGGTGTGTAACAGACAGAGGAAGGCAACTCTGATTCCATTAGATTTATATATCGGAGATAGGGAAATTCTCATTGATTATACTTCCCTTGTCCGCGCAGATCTAGTTTCATTTAAAGCTCGATAACTTTTTATAAAATTGTATGAAATCGTTATGGAAAACCTGCATATCGATAAGAAAGCGATAAGTAAAAACTGGAAGCTTATTAGAGCTAGAGATAACAATATCGCCTTGTAGATTATCGTTTAGGTAAGACAGATCCAACATACATAGATACTATATATATAAATACATTTATTGCTCATCTGGAACTGTATATGAACGATTCGATCTATCAGAGCTAGAGAAATTTTGATTGCCCACGATCTAGTTTCTTTTAAACAGCCGATAACATTTCCGATATCGAAAACCTGTGTTTTGAACATATCTCGTAGCTTATAAGAGCTGAGGACAACAAATATGAACAGTCAAGACGATTCCAAGAAATACATCCCTCTGCGTTTTCGCAAAAAATTGCATTACAGCCATATACTTGAACATTAGAATTTACACATATATAGATGCTCATTCTTAAGCCAAGAAAGATTCATTAAACACTAAACATAAGTGTCCCCTGGCCGGACACTCCTCACTAGAATACTCTTACTTGTTTTAATTAGTGTATTTAAACTACAGTTAATTAGGGAACACCTATAATAATCGAGCTTATCAAATTGTAAAATTATTAAATTGCAAACACTTTAATTCACAGGCTATGCGCACAAGGAGTGCGGCGAGGATGGCGAATGGTTTAAGCATCCGCTGACCAACAAAACCTGGTCGAATTACACCACCTGCGTGAATCTGGACGATTTAGCGGTACGATTTTAGCCTTATTTTCTATACGAGCTTGCAGCACAATTAACGCACAATTCTCATTTGCACAGCGTAATCACAATGTGAACCTGATCTACGAGGTGGGCTACAGCATCTCGCTGCTGGCCATACTCCTATCGCTGGCCATCTTAAGCTATTTCAAGTAAGTGTAATTAATTAGGGCCTTAATATAGATTACTTAACGCTGACAGCCTAATATACTACTATTTAACTCGAATGATCCGTCTTTCATGGGTTTCCCCTTTCATTCATAGAAAACCACTCAGAGCTAATGAGCCACATTTGCCAGTTGGTGTTATGGTTGCTTTGGCGCTTTGCGCCAAATTTTATTGTTTAACAAAGATGCCAAACGGTTCTCTAATCAAGCTCTGGCAACCTGCGCATGTGTGCGTGTGTGTGTGTGTGTCTGTTCATTGCACTTTTACTTACTTGCGCCCATTTAATCCGCCACACTTGACGTCGGAAATGAGAAAATATTTGCTTTCTTTCCCCGTTGCCGCCCCTTCCGCCTACCCTACTGTTCTCCCGTTCTTCTGCCTGCTGTGTCACACATCAACTGGGCATTAAATTGTGTGTCTCTTCTTCAAGCAGGATATCGATTAATTTCCACTTGTCTGCAGCACAATTAGTGCTCTTGGCTTGTTTATTATCAGCTAAGACAAAGCGACAGACAGCCTGACAAGGCAGCTAAACTTTGGCTAAAGCGTTTTAAATTTGTGTACAAAAGACAAATAAAGTGCTTGGCATAATATGTGACGAGCCTTTTGCTTGAATATGACACCAACTATTTGAATATGGGTTATTATTTTAGTCGAAATTTAACTGAGAGTTAACTGCGAAGTTATCCCAACTTCTTGGCTTTTTCTCTAGACAATTACAAAAAAGGATATATTGAAGAATAAATAAACTTCAGGAGCAGCAGAAATTTAAAGCTAATGTAGTTAGGGAAAAAACTACTTTAATTGAGACAAAGCTGTGGCAAAATTCCAATCAAGCCTTTATTGGCAACATATTTAAGTCCGGGCAAGTTCCAATATTTCGTTTTCGGACCTTTCTATGCTCAACCATTTGGAGCAAACCTGATTTAAATATTATTGTAGTAAAACCTACAAATTGTTGGCATTACGGTCACATATTCCAAAGAAATGCTGGACAATGCATACAAAGAGCTGAACACAATTTGCATGGCATGCATTAATTCACCAGATTCAGCAAGATTTCATTAATATGCAGCTTGGTCTTTGGCCAGCTGCCAAATGCAGTCGAATTGAACAAAACAAAACGAAAACGGAACTAATAAAACTGAGGTCAATGTTGACATTCGAGTGAACCCAAACCCCCCTTTTGATACCCTTTCTCGAACAGCGCCCCTTTTGCCGTGTGAAATACAAATACGTGTTTTCTTTTTTGTAAATGCATGTCAATATTTGGGAAAACAAATAAACGAGTTTTGGTCTGAAAAAAAAAAACATTTGCTAAAACCACACAGGAAACTCTGTGGAAATGCAGCAGATGAGCTGCCCTGCAGCTAATCTTGTTTATGCCCTGCATACACTATATAGATCATAAGATCATACAGATCATATAGATCATATATATTACAGAGAGCATATAGATGTTACAGATTATATAGCTCTCATAACTTTTCTATGCAAGTTTCAAACTGATTTTTAGAGATATTTGACAGAATTAATTCGATAGGTGCCACGGGCAAGGTCGGGGTATATCCGCAAGCATCGTATATAGACATAGTTCAAAATTTCCCAACCCCATAACTCTATGAAAACTCAACCGATTTTCATAAGTTTTGTCTTTTTCTCACAACAATTATATAGATTACACAGATACAGCAAAGATACGCAACAACTAAATGTTATGCTTAGATATCGCCCACAATATACCCCACATCAGACACCATTCCTTATCAAATAGTTTCTACCGTTTGCCTGATTTATTCAAACATCTGTTGCTTATTTGCAGATCTTTAAAATGCGCCCGCATCACGCTGCACATGAATCTGTTCAGTTCTTTTGCGGCCAACAGTTCGCTGTGGCTCATTTGGTATCTGGTGGTGGTGCCCAATACGGAGCTAGTGCAGCTAAGCCCGGTAAGTAAAGAGTTAGAGGGAGAGAAGGGAGCGAAAGGGAGATGCCGGAACTCCCTGCTGTTTAAAATCCAACCATATCTGACTGCAACTTTTCAGGGCTATTGCGTGGCATTGCACATCATTTTGCACTATTTTCTGCTGACCAACTATTCGTGGATGCTGTGCGAGGGCTTCTATTTGCACACGGTGCTGGTAGCCGCGTTTATATCGGAGAAAAAGCTGGTCAAATGGTTGATTGCCTTCGGCTGGTGTTCGCCGGCCATTGTGATTTGCATCTATGGACTGGCTCGTGGATTCACTGGTAGTTGGGAACAGAATCTGCAGTAAGTGCATAAACATGGCGTCAGGCTACTGTGTGCTTGTGTGTGAGTGTGTGTGTGTGTATAGCTAAATTGATTGTGGACACACGCATACATGGAACATGATGATGATTTGCAAACTGAAATCAAATCAATTGTAAACCAGCTCGTTTGCAATTCATTAGATGACAATCTGCTCAGATTCACTTAACCCACCCTCCCCCCAATCTATCTCCCACCCCACCTCTAGCTGCTGGATGACCGACACGGACTTCAACTACATTCTAATAGTGCCCGTCTGCATTTCAATCTTTCTCAATTTGCTGTTCCTTTGCAATATTGTGCGCGTCGTTCTGCTCAAGCTGAACGCCCCGGCGAGCATTCAGGGCAGCTGCGGACCCTCACGCACTGTTTTGCAGGCATTTCGGTAAGTTCGCCCATAAACAAAGTGTTCTTAAACGGACTTCAATTCAATAAAAAAAAAAATATGTTATTTTGGGACGAAAACAAAAGGCCGACTCGCCCGCGGGCCGTATGCGTAATCAACTTGTTTTTCTTCAGCATCATTTTTCTGTTGTTGTTTTTTATTCGTCTCGCATTTTGCTTGGCTACGTTCGAAAGTTTTATTTTGCTTCATTTTACATTTTAAATTACGCATACGCCGCGTTGACTTGCATTTTAATACGCTCGTCGACAACGAATTATACATAAATACAAGTATTATTACAATGCTCCCTCACGCTTATCTCTCTCTCTCTCTCTCTCTCTCTCTCTCTCTCTCTCTCTCTCTCTCTCTCTCTCTCTCTCTCTCTCTCTATTTCCCTGTCGCCTTGTGCAGAGCTACGCTGCTGCTGGTGCCCCTGCTCGGCCTCCAGTATATGTTAACGCCGTTTCGTCCTGGTCAGGAGCATCCCTTGGAGTATACATACCAAGTCATCTCGGCATTTACGGCCTCATTTCAAGTAAGTAATTCCTTTTTTTTTTGCCATTGCCATGTTACCCCAAAAGCGCAGAGTTGGCTCGACTTTTAGCCTGGTTTGAATTTTATATAGGAAGACACAAATTTGAGCTAATATGATCTGCAAGCAGGCTTTTCAGAAATCTATATTTTATCGGGGAATATGCGACTTATTATTTAATAAAAAAAAGTAGCTGCATTAACAGAAACAGTTTCCCCCTTCATCTTAGGTCATTTGTTCTCTGATATTTATTTCAATTTTATAAATATTAATATACATTTATTTTGATTAATTATAAGCCTGTTACACAGGGCATCTGCCAGCCCATCAACTAAGCATAGCTGCACCTTTTAGACAGAGTTTAATATTGTTTTATGGCCCCGCACACAGGTTGAACACTTTATGCTGTTAGTGTATGTAAATTTCTATCTCAGCTGTTTGGCCTTTAACTTAAATCCGAGAACAGGGTATTCGCATGCAGCAAAAAAATATGCCTATTTAATTGGCCAAAAGTGTGCAGGTTGTGCCAAAAGATATTCACCATAATTTATGTTAACAAGCCTAAGACCATGTCAGAGCTTGTTTATTGGGAAGTCAACCCCCAACCCGTGATCATAAGCCATAAACCATATCAATGCCTGAACCCTGCGGGCCAAATTATTAATATGCCAGGCACATGCTCGCAGAACTCCCCAAAGCTCGCAAATCTCAGCTCATTTAACTGCGACCGAGTTGTGGCTCAGCAGGGTTATCGTGGGGTAGGGGGTGGGGCGGCTTGTGGGTGGAGGGGGGGGTTTGAAATCAATATGCAAACACGCTGAGTGAAAATTTGACTTTGTTATTTTGTTGGATATTCTTTTAAATTTGATTTGAACACCCAACGACAAACGTTTAAAGTAAGAGTACAAATAAAAGTAAAAACACACGCATAAAACCAAATCGAGCTGCAACTCATTTTCAGCTGTTCTTTTAGTTTCAACACAAATAAACTATAAAAAGCTGTTCGACAGAACCAGTAGCAAAAAAATAAAACAAGAAAGTATATCTACAACACGCCGAAGACTCAATACCCTTGTAGACATTTGCAGATATGTGAGTAGGGAAAAGCTCGTAAACGCTAAGCTTGATGAAAATATCTTGGAAAATGGAATATTTTCCCTAACAATAAATTAATTTTTTGACCGATTGCGATATTGTAAAATGTTTGGTTTAACCCATAAATGATCGAGATAACTTGATAAACAAAAATATTTTTTATACATGAACCAACTTTTCCGCCAATCGAGCCTATGGCAGATATACGATATAGTGTTCCCATCCGATATATACCTCTTCCAACAGAAAGATGAACTATGCATAGTTTCGTGACGATTGCCTTAAAAGACAAAAGTCTAAGTCGCAAATAAACAGACAGAAGGATAGTCGAACAATCAGGCATTATATACTTTAAAGATGTGTCCTTCTATGTTACAAATTACATGACAAAATTGTAATACCCTCTTCAAGGGTATAAAAATTCGAACTAAATTCCAATGTCTGCGGTTGCTGCACATAAAAAAATCTAAATTCTCATGTGCTGCTCTGCGCCTGAGGGCGTGGCTGCTGAGCACGCTGCAGTTGAATTACAGCTTCAAGACCAACAAATGGGACAGAGACTGCAGTAAAATTACAGTAAAAGGGCGTACGAGGGTTCGATCCTTAAAGCACGAGCTCAGCGTGCTGGCGCTTAGCACAACGAGTTACTCAAGCAATTATCTGCAGAACATTTACTCCGAACTGTAGACTTTAGTTTCTTAGATAACTTTTGTATTTATTGCATGAACTTTTATTATATAATATAATAATAATATTTCAAATAAATTTTCGTAACTGGAAGATACCCTCTTACACGATTGACGACGCGCCAGGGTATTAAGACACAATACGCTGTTTATCTGTGACTTTTCTTCACTCGTTCGCAGACAAAAAACACAAAACAAAAAAAAAACTGAGAAAATAAACTTGAAGTGACAAATTCAGAAGCAAAATACTTTTGCACAAATGTATTTAAAGCCAGTAAGCGGCAACTTTTTATTATTTTATTTGTTGTTTTCGCCCCGCAAATTGTAAAGTTTTCTTCAACTGGCAAGAGGCACTTTTTTTATCCCCCCGTACAGATATAATTTCGGATTTATTGTGGCAGCTGCACAGTGCGCGACTCTCGTAAAAGATTGGGTACAACTTTTAAGAGCCATAAAGTCCATATTATTAACTTTATATGGGTCTACACTAAGAACCGAAACTCCAAATGCGACTAAGCAGACAGAAGCATAAGAACTGCGGTATTTGCGTTTTTTTGGGGACTGTAAACAACAAGAAGGCAAAATATTTATCATAGACAACGCCCAGTTCTTACATTACAGAGATTTTGGGGTAAACAATGACATTATGCCATGAAATGTAAGCCAAAACTTAAAAATATATTGAAGAACTCTAAGCATAGCTCCCAAAATGGGTGTTCTGCATAGCTAGAAATAAGAAGGCATTGTCATTGTCATTGTCATTGTCATTGTCATTGTCATTGTCATTGTCATTGTCATTGTCATTGTCATTGTCATTGTCATTGTCATTGTCATTGTCATTGTCATTGTCATTGTCATTGTCATTGTCATTGTCATTGTCATTGTCATTGTCACTGTCATTGTCATTGTCATTGTCATTGTCATTGTCATTGTCATTGTCATTGTCATTGTCATTGTCATTCTAATTCATTCCAATTATTATTATTATAAATTTTATTAATATTATCATTATTATTATTATTTCTTCACAAATTTTTTAAAATCCTTAAGTTTGTTGCCACACTTTCAAAATTGTTTTAAGTAAATCCGTTTAGATTTTCTTTTAGCCCTAAGCTAGCGAGCGAAAATTCCTCTGTTGATCACATAAATAAAATGCATCGCTCAATGCCACTTGCTGTGTTAGTGCCTCGGAATTTACTGAATGTCAACAGTGCAGAAAATAAAAAACAGAAATAAAAAACACGATTCTCATGACATTTATGAGAAGAGCTATGCAATGCAATCAACAACAAACGCTGATATTATCTCTGAACAGGCAGTGCAATTAGAGCCAAAGTCCTCTAACAACAACAAATATTTAATTTAATTTTATTGTCAGGCACTTTTATATTTTCCCTTTACCCATCAAATGCCGCAGCTGGAATTCCAATAAAGCTTGAAAAAAATAGATATATATATTTGCCGAGAACTTCAGAGGAGCATATAAAACGTATAGAACAGCTGCTCCTAAGTCCCTTTAGCTGCAGCTGCTGTTGTTATTTTTATATAAATTGAATTGAAAACTTTGGAGTAAGTGTCACATGCTCTTAACATGGCCCAAACGAAAGCACATTTGTTACCACTTTGACTGTCTACTTTGCTAATTAGTTTTGCAAACAGTTTGCACTTTTGCCTTCTCGAGTAATTAGCAAATCATCAGCTCAAAGAGAGAGCTGCATGTCATGCAGCAATCAAAACTGGTTATTACAGAGTATTACGAAGCAGCTACTCCGACTCCCACTCTAACAGGGCCCCGAGCACTACGGAACGGCGCTGAGTAATGGCAAACATCAGTCTGAATAATAACTAGCTAAATAATATTCAACCGACATAAAGTGAGCTCAGCTGCTGGAATTATTAGAGCCAATGTCGGGCGCATAAAAGGGAATAGGTAAAAGCCGCAGAAAATCTTTATAAATGCGTAGCCAGCAACAAAAGACAGCATAAAGTGAATACAAAACAAACAAAAGTCCAAGTCGACTAGTAATTACTCTGTGGTCAGTTCTAGACCACAACTGAAAATAGCTCAAATCAATTAAAGTGTCCGACTTGCGGATACCCTTACGTGATAAACATTTTAGCTTTCCCACAACATAGATGCAAACAGAATACTATGTTTCGTGGAGCGCAGTCTTGCATAACTTCGGTGCTTAAAGTCCGATCCTTATAAAATTTAAAGTACATACATATGAAGCCCAAATGTGCTTTAATACTTATTTGAAAAATGCCAGAGCTATTCAAAAAGTAACATATGCTCAATCTACGTGTACGAGAAGCGATAATATAAAGCTTTTATAATTTTATGCTAATACTTAAAAAAAAAAAAACAAGTCTCAAAATGAAGCATGACGTATTTAGGGCTCAAACCTTAGAGCAGGTCATGAGAAATCTATCTAGTTGCTAACGAAGATTAATACGAATTCACTTCAGACGGGAATTCTGGGTATGTAACTAGGCAAAAATAAAGCCACAACGGTTCCAAGAGAAAGATAGACATCCCATTCGTTTTGAAAGTTTACGTAGATACCTTTTATTATATTTTATGTTAAATAGTTCTTATTTCAACATTATTTAGAAATGAAGTTAAGGTTAAAACCTTTTAGGGAAATTAATGTTAAGGTTAAACGTAACTTACGTTGAATTTACTATGTTGCAATTTCAAGAGCTAAATAAAATGGCCAAAGAATGTTGTCAAGGTATTTAGTAGAAGTCGCAGGACACTAAACTATGTGTGCTTGTGATTGAGTTAGGCAGCGTGCCAGGACGTGTGCATTGGCAATCAAATGAAGCCCTTTTGCCAATTTCATTTATATGCAGGCGATGTGTGAATAGCCAATCCCGCAAGCAGACCCTGCACGTACGCAACTATGCATTAGAGGCATAGGTAGACACCCACGCACAATCACAATTTATTCTAGACAAATGACAAACAACTCAAGCTCAGGCAGAAGCCGACTGACAACTGACAGATACGAGGCATAGATACAGATCGTTTTAGTGGGCACAAATACAGCTGCGTCGAATGAATTGGCAACTGTTGAGGCTGGCCCCAAATATGGCAAATAAACCAAATTGCATTAGACGCGGGCAGCCTTTTGTGTGGATATAAACATAAATGGCTGGCGCTTGCACAAGCCCCCAAATAAACATTAATTATATATGCTTTTTCTTTTCGGACAGGGCTTGTGCGTGGCCACATTGTTCTGCTTCTTCAATGGCGAGGTGATTGCCCAAGTGAAGCGCAAATGGCGCACGGTCTGCTTCAGCAATCGACCAAGGACCAACTCTTATACAGCCACTCAGGTCTCGGTAAGATTTCTTATGAGCTTCACATGCTTTTGCCTATTTTCTTTTTCAAGATTAAAACAGCTCGGGTTACGGCGCGTATGAGCAATGCAAGCTAATGAATGCAATAACTGATACACACATATACATTTTTAGCCTAGACACTAACACGCACACATTTAGCCTAGACACACAACCATTCACTAACTCTGTGTTCTCCTGCTGTTAAACGCATGTTACGCATACGCATACGCACACTCACACACATACACACACTAAAACACACAGACACTCACGCACACCGCGAACCGTTTAAAATGCAGCGCACCGTTTTCCAACCTGCCAACCACCATGATAGCATATTCTCAGTTCTTTTGATTGTAGTTCGTGCGCTGCGGTCCGCCAGTGCCTGGCGAGGAGAAGGTATGACTAAAGGACTTGTCGGCATCGGCCAAGCGACGCTCCTCAGCGCCCCATCGCCCACATCAACAACAACAACAACAACAACAACAACAACAACAACAGCAGCTGCAGCAGCAGCAGCAACATTTGCTGGCACAGCAGCAGCGGGCGAGGAGCCAGAGCCTGGGCATGACAGGCGCCACAAGCAGCTCGTCCCGCCTTATCGATGGCTGGCGCCATAAACTGCGTTTGCTGCGGCGCCCGAGCGTGGACAATGCGCATCAGCGGCAGCCGCTTATGGAGGAAACAGCTGGCAATTCGCAGCCGCAAATGGCAGCCAATACGCAAGCGGAGGCGGACAGGCCGACGCTGATGACGACAATAGCAGAAGATGTCGCCGAAGCAGCAACAACAACTGCAACTGCAACAGGAATAACAACAACAACAACAACAAACAACGCAACTGAACAGCGAAATGGCACGGGCATGGGCTTAGGATTAGTATCGAGATCGGGCTTAGGCCTCGCACCTGGCATAGGTGTTGTCATTGTCAGCGTCGATGCGAATGACCAACAGCATATTGCCGATGAGGCGCTTTAAGCAACACACACACACACACACATACACAGAGACACCCACAAATCGAGTCACAAAACTCTGTTACGAATTCTCATAGTCTAAGCCAATTTTAAGCATGCTACCCGCCCAAATAGATAACCATACTTGAAACTAGAAACCAAAACAAATGAAAATGCACCCCACCTAGAAAAAAAAGAAAACAACAAAAATATATAAATAGTCGCCCGCCCTTCAGACCGATAAACAATCGTAAGCTATAGCAAATATCAATGCAAAGTTGCTTTAATAAAAGAAATAAATAAAACCTTAAGCTAAACTTTTGTGCAGCTAAAGTCATAAAATCAAAATAGTACTTTGCAAAAACGTTCCGAGTTTCAGCTCTGCAACTGTTTCACAGTTAGGTGTTGAGCAACGTTTAAAATTATAATCATAATATATATAACAGTGCTGCAAAACCGAAAGTAGACAGTTATCGATAACTATCGAATTAAAAATGTTCCGGTATTTATTTAATATACATTCAACTTATGAAAATGTGTACAACTTGCAATGGTATTGAAATATCGATAGTCGTTATGCACAAACTATCGATGTAAGTAATCGCTATTGATAATTATCGAAATGAAATGTTTAAATATTTATTGAATATAAATTTTATGTTTGAAAATGTTTAAAACTATCACTGTTATCGATATATCGATAACCCTTAAATTATCGACTTAAACAACAGCTTTCCAGCACTACAACTAAAAAATGTATTCTTAGACCTAAGCTAGATATCTAATAACAAAATTAACAAATATTGCAGTTAAAGCGAAGCTCCGAATTCGGCTCGTTAAAAAGCGCTCCCAAATAAATATGCTGCACAAAAGTTGGCATAATTGTTGTAATAACGAAATGTAACTAGCATTTAATTTACAGCGAACCCATATTCATAAAAGTAAACTATTATATGATTATTAAGAATTTATGTGGATATCAAATATCATTGTTGTCGTAAGTGTTATGTGTCTCTATAACTAAATTATCATGCATATGTGGCTATTTATATATACATATATATTTATGTGGTAAGCTGAGCTTTCTAACATTTTTAAAAATTAGGCGCTTTATGTTTTCGCTATTATAGATGAATGCTTCGAAATCTGTGTATATGAAATAAATATGTGAATATATGTGAAATATAAACCCGTTAAATGAAATTTTATAGCGCACTTTGCAGCACTGGCAAGTACCTGCTTGCAATTTAATTGAGAATTAAACTTTTTGACAGCACTGTTAATTATGAACTTGTCGCATTCAAGTTGAATTGTACACTTTGCAACACTGGCATATTGGTATGTTCAATTTTACTGAGTACTTAACAATTTGACAGCACTGTTAATTATAAACTCTTGGCATTCAAGTTGAATTGCTCACTTTGCAACACTGGCATTGAGATAAGTATTGTTAAGTACTAAGCCGCTGCCAAATGTCTGTTAATTAGCCAACTTTTGCGCTTTGTGTTACCATTTTATGAAAATGAACTCCAACCAACAATGAATGCCACGCCCACGCTGCCCACCTCTATTCATGACTGGCCGCCCGCATTGAATTGAAGACCGCGAGTTCTCTGAACAGGCCGGCAGTCTATACTGAATTGTACTTGTACGGGATGATAAATTCCGCCGGCTGGTCCTTTGTCTATTGCCGCGCTAATTTTGTCGACAACGCAACAGTAACCACAACAACAACAACAGGCACAATAGGGAGAGAGGCGGAAGTTGGGCTGGGGGTGTGGCAGTTGTTAGCGCTTTGTTTGACATTTATTGTAACTTATTTGTACAAAACAGTTGACGTTGGTTTTTGCCACATTGCCGTTGGCCGCGCTGTGCTGATGTGGCTTTAATGATGTCGCTGATTGTGTGGCAGGTTGCCATGGCATGCCGCATGTTGCACATAAAATGCAGCCAACAGCTGTTGGCTCGTCCATGTTTTATGCATGTTAAGCAACGTGTTAAGTGCCATTTTATTGCGCCCCAAATTGAGGGTGTGTGTCGATGCGTGTGTGTCGATGAGTGTGTGTGTGCGTGTGTGTGTGTGTGTTGTGTCTGCTAACTCGTAACTTCTCTTTCATATTTTGTAAATAATTCGCAGATTATAAAGCGCGTAACTCATACGCACCATCTGCCAGTCGAGTGAAAACTTTATTCATCAGACAAATACACTCAATTATATTTGTATGTATATATGTGTGCGTGTATGTGTGTATGTGTATTCGACTACAAAGAGTGAGTCAAGCGTTGGTTAAGTGCATGACAAGTCTTCGCACCCGGCAGCTATGGATAATGCATTTGTAGCTAGCAAATTAAAAAAAAAAAAATACAAGAAATGTTTTTCCTTTGAAACACTCAAACACAGCGCACTCACAAAGGATTCAGGACTCGTGAGAGCACTCAAGGCTGCCTGAACTGGACACCTTTTGGCCCCAACTCAAGAGCGACTCAAGCGGACAGTCATGCAACAACAACTTGAATGGCTGCAACGACAACAGATTTTGCACACACTCGTACAAATAATCGTAAAAGAAATTTTAAGCGCAAAAATTTCACTGGAAACGGTTCTTAAAGAGCTGTAGTGTTGCAAAATACAGCAAATTTAAGGGAAAGACTTAGAATTTAATTGCTTACTCATATTTTAAGCCATTTAGATGCAGTCAGAAACTTTTTTGGTAGATACAAATTTATATTTTTAATCAGGATAAAAAATTGCATTAAAATTAAAAAATTTAAACGAAAAATATTATGTTCGAGATGAAATAGCCTACATAAAACAGATCTACATAGCCCTTCACAACTTAAGAGTTTCTTTTCTTACAACAAATCTTTCCTTGACAAATAATTTGGATATAACAGCCATATATATATGCTTGTGACAGCCTCTGCAAGGGTATGCAAATTTATATAAATACCCAACTCTATTCCAGTTAATGGAAATTGAGATAAATACGTAATTGCTTTACAGTTATTTTTAGTACATTTATACGTATAACAAAGCAGGCCTACCTGCATAAGAAAGCTCTTGTTCTTCCTCTCACTCATTCTCTCTCTCCGTGGATGTGGATAACGTTGGATAGCGCGCCAATTTTTACTTGTGAAAAAAGCTCTGCAGCAAAAATTTGCAAACATTTACACAGTTTACCGCGTATTATATATGAATTTAATGGTGTAGAATGGGCAAGAAACTTATATATAATCACTTTAACACACACGTAGCATAGAAAACTATATTATCAATTAAACTTAAAAAGCAAGTGACTTTATACACACACGCCGTGGATCCATCCGATCGATAAAACAGACGCACACTGACTAAATTGCCTTATTGGGCTTGCGCTCACGCTAAGCCGACATTCGCAGCAACAACAAAGCGCACAAACTTTTGCGCTCACGCCATCCACAAAGTAACGGGATCAAAAGCGCTAGGACCAATGGCGTGAGCGCAACGGTCAGCCCCTCCCGTAGCACAAGCAAGCATTGCAGAGTCAAAAGTGTATGGATAAATTATCGCCTACGCTTACAGCAGCCGCAATATCCACTCTCCGGATAATTGCTCTCGGTGAATGCAGTTATCCGTGCAACTGCGCTCAATGCAGCCAACCCACATTTTATCTGAGCTTGTAAAGCTTTTACCTGCTTTAGTTTTAGTACAATGTACTAATTATTTATACGATCGTATTCCTGTCATACTGTCTCTAAATAAAAATTCAAAAAAAAGTATCTAGAAAAAAAAATAGTTTAAAGATGCTTTTATTAAGTGACGACTTGTTGAAAATTGCATTTTTAGTTTTTCTGACAAGCGTTGTATGAATAAAATTCGAATTTCAACTGTTTACCAAAAGGAACTAATTTGCAAAATTCACAAAACAGTGGAAACAAAACATGTGAAAGAGTTTAACAAGAGTGAGGTAAAATTCAGTAAAAAAAATAGGATGATTAGCATATTTAGCACAGATTACGACCTCAGATTCTAATTAAAAAGGCAAAAAAAATATGAGCTACAAAAGCAGGCGGAGAACACATGTAAGTGAGTGTAAAAGTTGCCCCTTCACCTTGTGCGGCTTCTGCTGAAAATATTTTTTTTTTTTTTGTTTTTTTTTTTTTTGTTTTGCCTCTGACGCATTTTGCATAATGAACTCTATTAAAAGTTGGCTGGCTGCCAGCTGCAGCCAGCCGATGGGATGCCTAAGCGAGGAGCTGTGCGATGCGCCCGACTATTGCGTCTTATCCTTGTGCAGCAGCTCCTGTTTGGCCAGCAGCTGGATGCGCTGCCCAACGATTCCCAGCGGCTTGCGCGGCACCAGATGACAAGTTGATTGCCTGCCAAGGAAAAACACATGTACATATAGACAGCATAAATATGGCAGTCGGGTATAGGCGACTGCTAAATGCTCGTTCACAGGCTACGGATAGATAACTTGACAGACAGACGGATAGACAAACAAAAGGACGTACAGATAGACGGACGGATTAACAGACAGATTGATAGCTAGACTCGCAAACAAAAGAGCGGAGAGACATGAGTACGGACGGATAAATGGACATACGGAAATATTGTTAATTGACGGATAGACGAAAGAATTGGAAGGGCGAACGTACAGGAAAACGGCCATTCGGATAATTTGGAGGGAGAGCGCACAGACAGATATTTTGACGGACGGACCGTCGGATAGACGAACAGCTGAATAGCTTTATGGACAGACGAAAGAAGATACGAAACGATGGATATTCATATGGACGGACGGATAAGCTAAGAGACAAGCAAACCAATATACCCTTTGGCACTTTTGTGAGCGAGTATCAGAAGAAAAACACATTAGTAAATCGACATAAATTGGCCGGGGCTGGCAACTCACTTGTAGATGATTTTCTCACGATCCGCCCAAGGCCAGCTGCGCTCCAGGTTATCCAGCTTGAAAAGCAGCTGCAACAAAAGGTGACAATGTCAAAAGCGTGCGTGTACAGGTGTGTTTGCAGGTGTGTGTGCAGGTGTGTGTGCCGCTAATGAGGCGCCGCATTGATTGCTTTTACCTTTTGTGACTCGGTTGGCGATGCTATTGTTGCCTCCACATTCGCCTCAAGCGTGCAAGTGGGCGTGACGGTGGGCATGACAGTGGGTGTGGGCGTGGGCGTGGGCGTTGGCGTCGCAGCGCGCACCTTTGAAGTGTCAATCGCATTCTCCGGCAACTCCAGCTTCGGGCTGAGCGTCAAATCTGTTGCGGCATCGACATCGCCCTCGTTGATGCGCAGCTTGGGCACATTACGCAGATTCCAGGTGTAAGTGGTGCTTAGGAAATCGCTGTCATCCTCATCCTCATCCTCCTCTTCGCTGGAGCTGGCAGAGGCCACTGCAGGCAGCTTCATATAGTAAACGGTCTTGTGAGCTGCCAAGTCATCATCATTCTCCATCTGCACTTGGTCCTTGTCATTGTCATTGTCATTGCCTGGCTCATTTGTCGCATAATTGACTTCCGATGCATAATCCGATTCGGGCGTCAGATCCTTTAGCTGCTTGGCTACACATTCCGACACGAGCTCGTCATCATCTTCGCCATCCGGCACCTGTACCAGATCATCCTCCTGCTCCGCGTCCTCCTCGTCCTCCCCCTCCTCATCCTCCTCCTCCTCCGCATCCTCATCGCCGCTGGCCAACTGCTCGAGCAGCTCATAGTCGAGCGCATCCTCATCGTAGGAGAACTTGCGCTGTATGCGGCTAAGCTGCTGCTGCTGCTCCTCCTCGACGCTGAGGCTGCCAAAGGATTGAGAGACGGTGGCCAGCGTTGAGCTTAAGATTTTTGGTATTTCCGCAATGGCCGACAATTTGCGCTGCATTTCCAGCAGGCGCAGCTCAATGGAGCTGGGCAGCACGCGGCCTGCACGAGAAGCAAGCGATGACACAGAGACAGGCTTTATGGCAAATGGCTTTTATGATTTATTGCAAATACACACGGACACACACACACACAGAGACAAAGACAAATACATATGCAAATACAGCTTAAGATTTATGTACACGAATTCAAAGCAAAAACCAAGGCGTGAGTTAATTGGCTTGGGTGCGGGGTGTGAGAGGGATTACGGCTTGGGGGCTGCGGGTTGTGGCCATCACTTGGACTTGGATGCCGTGGGCAGGGCCAGCAGCATGTTCTCGATGGTGCTGCTGCGCAGCTCCTGATTATCGCCGACCTCCGCAAAGAAGCGTTTAATATTCCGTATAATGCGATGATGCGGCAGCTCCTGCGGGGCATTCGAGCGGGGTGGGAGAGAGAGAGAGAGAGAGAGAGAGAGAACAGGCGTTAATTAGATTGAATATGTCAATAGATTGGCATTCAATCACCTGATCCTCCTCGTCGGAAGACTCATCCTCGCTCAACTCAATGATCAACTCGTTGCCCTCCTCATCGAGTTGGGTTTTCGTTTTCTTTTTCTTGGGCTTGGGCGGCTCGGGCGGCTCTTGCCACATAATGGGATGCCAGCAGCGCGAGCCAAGCAATGGGGTTGGGGTGAAGTCTACAAAAAATATAAGTACAACCAAATTCTTGTGATCACACCAAATGCTACAACACATCATGCCAGGCGCATGCTTGGGCGGGATAGGGCGCGGAATTGGGTTTGGATTGGGAATGCATATTGGATACATGCTCTCGGTTGGAGCAAGTGCGCCAGAACTTACCCTTTGGCGGCGGCATTGGCTTGGGCACACGCATCACAATGGACTTCTCCTCGCCGGCCTCGTACATGCCCATCGCATCGTCCTCCTCCATGCTGTGCGATTTTACATAAGCAAAACAAATATATATATTTCTAGGGTATTTATGGCCAACTGGGGCGACCTACTTGCGCATGAGAAAGTGCACCTTCTTGGGCGTCGCGTTGATCCGTTCGTGTGCCTGGGCCAGTGTCAGCTGCGTGGCGTCCTCTTCGTTAATCTCGAGTATTATATCGCCCAGACGTACGCCCGACTTGTCGGCTATACCATTCGGCGTTACCTGCATAGAGACAGACAGCCTTTACCCTTTGGCCATATCAATAAGCCATATACATACTATAGATATGCTAGAAAATCGTTGAACTTTCGATTTCACGTACCGCACGAGGCAACAGTCAACGCGCAATTGTTCGACAAATGTTGCGTAGTTCGAGTTTAGGTCGAACAAATACTATATATACTATATATATACATATGATATATGACAGACAGCTTCAGATGGCTGCAAATTCGTCTATAGATATATGTATTCAGTTGTAGGTCTGCTCCCAAAACACACAATGAGATACTTGTTGCATGTATCTCAAAATTGTCTGCGTTAAGTGTGCGCTACAGCAAATCGATTGGCATATGGCTTAAGATATTACTGTGCCCTTTATGAAATAGTTTTGGAATAACTGAAAGATAATTATGTCTATTTTAGTTGTTAATATATGTTCATTTATAGTGTACTATAAAATAGGCAAAATTATCTTCCAATTATGTTATAATTGTTATAAACAAAACTAAAATAGACCCAATTAGTGTCTAGTTGAATTAAGCCCAATTTATCGAGGTGAACAATAAATATTAAATTTAAAGTTGATGTTAATTTCTTTATTTATTAGATTTATTATTTGATAAATAAATCTTTGTTGCTCTCCTTTCCAACATATAGATCAAATTAATCCATTCGCTTTCTATACTCTACATTTTGTATATCGTGTACAAGCTGCATATAACATCGTCTATGCCCCACTCAAGTAGCGTATGCGCATCGACACAAAAAAATAACAATTTATATTTTCGCCAGACGTCAAAACCGAATGCAATACATAGAAATACTTAGGCAGAAACACTTTTATCCCAAATTTTGTGAGCTTTCCCCGGCTCAAGAGTAAAAACAATCGAAACGAGAACGAATGCTGCCCCGCCCAACGCGCTGCCCGCCTTTGTCTTTTGTCATCAGCTGCACGGCAATTGTTGCTCATACGCCCCATTGCACGAGCGCCGGCAATGTGAAATATTCTTTTTGCTGATTTCGTCATAGTCGAAAAACTCGAAATATACGAAAATGTTGCTTGTGTTTATTTTCAATACCCTGTACGTGTGGAAAATGGGTGAAAACGGGGTATCATGGTGTTGGGAAAACGTATGTAACAGGCAGGCAGAGGGAGTATTTTCCGTAGCAGAGTCAATGGAGATATGTTCGTGGTTTAAGATTATCGATAATTATCGATTAAGTATCATCGATTGAGATTATCAATGAGTATCGATGAAGTATTTAACTATTCTCGATTAAGATTATAGATAAGGATCCATTAAGTATTTGATTATTATCGATAACTAGGAAATGCCGAAATATAGAAGAAAAACCAACCTCTCGTTGAGAGGAAGAAGCAGCTGGAATCTATGTAACATCAGCTGGTAACTCTATACAGGGTATTTGCTAGTCGAGCACACGCACTCTTAGACGCTTTTGGCCAGCGACCAAAAAGAAACGCGCGATGACGAAATAAGAATTGCAGCTGTCATAGCGCCAGCCAAAAGCCTCAATTGGAAATTGGAAAGGAATATGATTGGACGGAACAGTTGGGCGGGCTCTCAGGCTGAATATGGGGAAGGGGAAGGGCGAGGGGAAGGGTGGACTACAAACAGTTAAACGAGCGTTATGTTAATTCTCTCTCCATTTACGTACCTGAAAGACGGTTAAGGGCATGTGAAATTCGGCGCCGCCGGTTATCAGAAAGCCCCATTTCTCATCATCCTTGGAATCGTAGGCATCCGATTCCACATCGAAGGCGGGAAAGCCGTCCGTGTCGCCAATGCCGCAGGATACCTTGATAATGGGCGCCTTCTTCTTTGTCTCCGGCGTGGACCACAGTATGCCCAGAGGCTCGGGCATCTTGTTGTTGTTCCCTTTGCTGTTCCCTTTGTTTGTTTATGTTACTTTTTCTGTCTCTCTATCGCGCTCTCTCTCTCTCTCTCTCTCTCTCTCTCTCTCTCTCTCTCTCTCTTTCTCTCTTCTGGCCCTCCTCTTGTTGTTGCTCTTTTTGCGTGGCTGCTCGTTTTATTTATAAATCGAACCCCCTCTCCCTCTTTCTGTCGCTTCCTCTCTGTCTCTTGTTATCTGCGCTCTTTGTCTGGCTTTTTATACAATTTGTTGCAATAGTTTTTGCTTTTGCTTTTACTTTGCTTTTGCTTTTGCTTTTGCTTTTACTTTGCTTTTTGCCTGTCAAAATTCAGCTGCCAAAAAAAATTAACCCGTGCGAAATTGAGTTTTCTTTAAATTTTCCTGTGTTTTGCCGGCTTTTCACTTTCCGCTGGCCATTGACTTTGCGGAAATGCTTTCCACTGAGTTTTCCTTTAATGCGTCTCTTATATAATCAATTTTCACGCATTGCACAATGAAAACGATTTGAAAATTGCGCTCATTTCCTTCGAAATTTGTTTAATTGCACATTTATGAGTTTGCCAATTTCCAGAATTTAATACGTGTGTTGATTATGACAGCCAAATTTTAATGTAAGTATGCTGGGGTTTTTCTCCCGTTTTCCTTGGGCTTTTCCACAATTTTCTTTGGCTTCCACACGTTTGCACACGCCTCGGGCGACTAAAACTAAAAGGCAAAGCGCGAAAATAATTTCGAGAAGTTTGCCTTTGTGGTGCATTCGCTTTTTTAATAGTTGCCGCACGGTTGCTGACTTTTCCTCATGCCCCAACCCAATTGGGGTTGATTAGTTTCGGGAAGTGAATGGGAAATAAATGTTAGATAAGTGGAATTTTGTGATAACAACTCTCTAAATCAAAAAAAAAAATTGTTGCATTCGAATTCTTGAATTGAGCATACGATAATTATGTCTCAACTTCAATTGGAATCAGCCATGAACCGGTTATGAATCGGTTATGAATCGGTTGTGAATCGGTTGTGAATCGGTTATGAATCGGTTATGAATCGGTTTTAACATGGTTATAACTCGATTCTGATTATAGCTATATACTAGATGTACTAACCTTTACATATCGGGTATATCGCAGTCGTTGATCGCTTGCATATCATTCTTTGCACGTTTTCTCGATTTTTTATTTTTGTTTCTCTATGCTGAGCATTGGGATAGGTCCGTGAAAAGTTTTTCTAACTCGCAAGTTGTTGCTGCTATTTTGTTTTTAGTTTTTATTTAGCTGACAGCACATTGTTTGCATCCAGTTGCAATTCCTCGACTTTTTACATAGTAAATATTCCAAGCATGTTTATAAATAAGTTGCGCGTGCACAGTTTTTACGTTTGATTTTAATGATATTGTTTGACATTTTTCTTGGTAAGGTACATTGTCTCATTAGCGAAACACGTAATTGGGTATTATTCGCATATTTTGTTTACGCTCTGATTGTTCTGACATGAACTCAATATACTTGATTCAAAAGTGTGCCGCTTATCTGGTTAATGTCAAAAGGTTAGCCTGCAAAACCATCCACAAGGAATTTCATCAAAATACGCTATTTATAATTCCTGGAATATCAGCGAATGACATTTGTGCGACACGTGAACTGATTTATCGATCGAATTGTGTGCAACTATACGAATTAAGCAGATAAGAACACAGGCTGGATATTCAATTAAAATGTAAATAATAATAATTATTTAAAAATTTAATAAATTAAAAATATATTTTAATCATTTTCATAATCAGTTAACAGGTAGTTTATTTCATAATGTATTAATTATGTATTAATGTATTAATTATGTATTATCTTTATTTATATTTTGTCGCTAAGAATGCTTTATGCATTTTTTTCGATATTTATTGTTTATCGATAACATGCGTTTTAAGCACTTATCGATTATATGTTATCGATATTTAATAAAGCCGGGTTGTAATGAATGTTATCTTTATTATTCGAATTACTTTTGATTAATTATTAACTGAACTTTTGACTTGTTTATGGCTGAAATTAAGCTTAAATCAATATTAAATTAATTTTTATAGAGCTTTAAAATAGTTTTGAATCGTCAGCATTTGCTATTTATAAATATTCTATATTAATGAATATATATATAAATAAAATACATAATCAACTGCTTTCTGTCGACGTCAAGAACAATTTCATATGTGTCATATACGCGAAAGTCCTTCAAACTTCTGCCGGAGTCCTTGCACTCGATTTCAAGGCTTCGTGGAAAAGTTTTCACAGCATTTCGCTTTTTACCTATGGGAAAAGCTGCTTTGGAAACTCTTCAATAAGCCCCAAAAGTTCAAATCGAATGCGAAATTCTCAGCTGACACCGAAAATAAAAAGAAACAAAAAAAAATTGGACAAAAATCCAGACAGCGACTCCTTATCAGCCGGACATACCTCGCCCGCCCACAGACTCCGCCACATTTCTTGATTAAGGACGGCCAAAGGTGATAGCTGCAACAACAACAACAACAACAATAAGGCTGATGACGTCACGAGCTGCGATAACAAACATTTGGCATATTTTGAGTATTTGTTTTTTGTTTATTTATTTGCTAGTTTAAAGAATACGATTATTGAATTTGGCTCTATTCCACGTAGGTGGTCTCATTGTTGACCTCGTTGGAGTCCACCTCGAGCACCTCGCAGCCCTGTGCATAGTCCTCCATGTTGAGTGAATCGCTTGCTTCGGCCAACTGCTCCAGCTGCTCAATACTGTGGATTGGTTCCAGTTGCTCCAGCTGCTGGCTGGCATTGTCCGGCATGGCCTCACGCCGGCGACGCGTCGTCTGAGCTGTCTGCTCCTGCTCGGGCTGTGCCTCGGGCAGAGGCTCAGGCTGTGCCTCTGGTTGTGCCTCTGGTTGTGCCTCAGATTGTGCCTCAGATTGTGCTTCAGGCTGTGCTTCAGGCTGTGCCTCCGGCTGGGCCTCAGGTTGTGCCTCAGGCTGTGCCTCAGGCTGTGCCTCTGGCTGTGCCTCTGGCTGTGGTGCTGGCTGCTGCTTCTTTGGCTCCTGTCCTGGGCCATCCTCTTCAGATGAGCTACTTGAATCCTCACCAGCTGATCGGCTCTTACGTGCTTGGGGCTTCTCCTCTGACGAGCTGTCTTCTTTTTCCTGCTGCTGCTTCTCCGACTGTTGCTTGGCATCCGGCGTCTCCTCGGATGAACTGTCAGCCTTTGCCTGCTGCTGCTTCTCCGGCTGCTGCTTCTGTGCTTGGGCGCCCTCTTCGGATGAGCCGCTTGAATCTTCGCCAGCTGCTCGCCTCCTACGCTCATGCTGCACCCACTCCTGCTCCAGTTTCGTCTTCTCATTCTCCACACTGACTGAATCGTCCTCCATGCTGTGCCCGCCCAGCATCTTGAGCAGCTGCTCATCGGTCTCCTGGAGAGTGTCTAGGCCCAGCGGCTTAGTCCATGCCACATTTAGCATCAGCGTCGCCGCCAACATTGTTATAAGCAGCCAAGAATGCATTTTCTTAGAGTTGGCTTCTGCTAGTTAGTTAATCCTTTTCGAATTGTGTCTGTGTTTGTTGTGTTTGCCTGTTGTTCGCGCTGCGACTCGTGCTCCTCAACTGACTCGCGTTGCCTCCGACTGTTTCTTATGAACCCTGCCGGCTTACTTATTATCACATTGTAGACTTCTGATTTGCCAGTTGTTGTTGATAGCCACAGTCACCGCCTGTGTCAGTGCCTGCCATTCCAATTAAAGCAACATCGATTTGCCAGCCGAGCTGCAACCTATGCAGCTGACAGAGGCGACAGAGAAAGACCGAATCCATATCGAGAATTTCAGGCTTTACTTTGCTTGCACAACACGAATTCGCATAAAAAATTGTATTTTGATACACTATAGACCGAGCACTTTAGGACTGAGTTGAAATAGGTAACGCATTGAGTATATGGTTCGCCCCACAGTAAGTTCCTTTAAATGTCTGACGAAATATGTTAGGCATTGCGGAAAGATTTTCCAACTGTAAGCAAAGGTAAGATGAGTTTATGTAGGACATTATTATTTTGAATATTATTGAGAATAATACAATAATAGCATAGTATTTTTATATGGAAAGGGCATTTAAGCGTCGGCAATCGCAGCATAACTATACGGATCTTATTCATAATTCGGAATGCGCAATTTACTTGGGCGTACTGTCCGCTGGCTGTGTGCAAAATTCTCAAGCTTGACTTGCATAATAAATACAAATTGAGCTGCTGCTCTATGAAATTGATAACGCAGATCAGCAAAGATCAAGCGAAACAAACTGAACGCGCAATTGGCGATTATCGACGAGACGCGAAAAACTAAATAAACATACACACACGAAAAACAACATGAAAAGCATGAAAAACAACAAATAACATATATACATTCTACATTTTTAATAAACAAACGAAGAGTTTTGATTGGAAATCAGTAAATGTAAATAAATGTGTACCACGGTGCGTATGAATTTTGTTTAGTGGCAGACGTTGACCTGGCCCAAGACGCAAATGCCGTTTAATCCGCAGCGGCGACGGCGGCAGAGATAAAGAAAATCGCCTCGCCCCCCCATACTTAACCCACTCCTCCCACAGAAACAAAAAAAAGAAAAGGATTTGCCTGACGTGAGCGGCATGCTCAACAAAAGCGAACCGAAAACCGAAATGTACAAGTGTAAAAGTATCTTTCAGATTGCAAAGTATCTTAACGGCACAATTTGGCGTTCACTTATCCTCGAGCATTTAGCTGACACTTGCGACTTTACGCCCTTTTGGGCAGCATTTAAACTGGACTAGACTGAAAGTAATATAAAAGACGAGCTCAGCGATAAGAGTGAAGGCAAGAAAAGGTGTCGCCGACGAAATTAAAAGCAAATATTTGACGGCTTACAGTGGCTGCCAGAAGTCTTTGGCTGCTTATACAAAAAAATAAGTGGATTCATAGCAAAGGGCTGATTGAATTTGATTCCCCGTTGGGCGCTTGCATATTCCATTTGCCTCAAGTTGGGGCACATCAAAAGGCCAAGTGACGAGGCGAAACGAAACGGAATGAAATGAAACATAACCAAAACGAATTGAAATGTTGAGCCACTGCATAATTTAAGTGAATTTACAATTTATATATTTACGCCTCGCCTGTCTATACCCTGGCTGCCATAGAAGGGTTAACAGGCATATTGGTTTACAGCAGGCAGTTGCTTGAGCCCCGTTTTTTTTTTTTATTTCAGTTTCATTTCCAATGTTCCGTTGGGAATTTCAATTTGCAATGTTCAGGTCGAGTGTAAGAACAAATCTATGTTAAACTTAATAAAGAACTTTACGAAATGATTTAAATATAACAATTCGGAAGGGGGAATCATTATTTTATGATATATGTTTCACTTCTATGTTTCACTGTTATGTTTCACTTCCAATGTTCCTATGCAAAAATGTTATGCTACTTAAATACGAATAGAATTTCTGCCAGGCTTCCCTTTTTAATAACCTTAGCAAATGATTAAATTAATTTAGCTCGGAATTAAAGTTTTAAGACATCATGTTCCATGTTAATGTTTCATGGTCCATTTTCAATTTATCTATGCAAAATATGATTGCAATTTTCAATTACAATATCATATTTCTGGAACGAAAAGAAATTAAAAAAAAATTATAAACGAAATGAAGCTTGAATACGTTAGATAGATAGATTAATAGATAGATAGATAGATAGATAGATAGATAGATAGATAGATAGATAGATAGATAGATAGATAGATAGATAGATGGATAGATAGATAGACAGATAGATATGAATATATTTTATGTTTTTTTTGGTATATTACATACAAAATAAGATTGATCCTTCCTTGAAGAGTGAACCAACTTGTGGCTATAAAGTATCTTTCAGTCCAAATCAGATGCTGTTCAGCTATTTTGCTTGGATAAGCCGAGCCAAGCCCAACATAACAAACTGGCAACTGCTCAAAAAATGAAAAAAAAAACATTGCAGTTTATGTATATTTTTTATGTAAATTGCGATTTGTTCGGTTCGGCGGCAACGCGCACTGCAACATTTTATGCAAATCAACGGGCACCTGATGTCCCAAACGAAATATTTGGCTCGTACAAATTCATGTTCTCTTCTACGATTTTGTGTTCTTGTTGTTTTGCCTCTACTTCCTTCTTATTTTTTTTTTTTTTTTTTAGATATATTTATTAAAAATTTATCAATGTCATAAGTTTGCCGAGTCATCAATCAACTTTAAAGCGGCAAAGATTTGCTTAGGCAAAGAGAAATGAGCCGCAGTTGATTTAAGATAAACACATTTTTTTCGCATTTCCCGAGACGTGCGTTGAATTTATTTTCGGCCTGAAAATATGCAACGGAAATTGCTTTTCTATTGCAAATTGAACTTAATTTCCTAATTATTTGACTAATTTATGCTTAATTTGAAATCATTTTGCTTTCATTCGATTTGTAAGCAACTTTTTAATTGAGCAAAAATGTAGGCTGAATACATTTTTCAGCTGCAAATTAAATTTCTTCATAATTTTCCTAACTTTAAATTCATTTTACCTAAATTCAATTAATAAAAAGATATTTATATATACATATATAAATATGCAAAATTAAATTTTTGGTAAATTTGTGATTAATATTTATTTTTTGTTGTCTCTAAATCAATTTGCTTTAGATTTGAATGTTAGTTCGAATCTAAGCTTATCACAGACACATTCTACACTACAGCCAGACACTACAAAAAAATATATGAAAAAAATCCTAAAATCTTCTTAACAACACATAGACTACACTGATTCCATGGACACCGAGACAGAGAACCCCACAGATGGAGCCGAGGCGAGGCCCACGACAAACGAGGCCAATCCGGAGGTGGTCACAGAGATTGCTGTAACAGTGGAAGTGCCTGAAGCTCCTGAAGGTCCTGCAGCTCCTGCAGCTCCTGCAGCTCCTGAAGCTTCTGAGGTTCCTCCCAGAGAAGAACAACAACTAACGGAACCTGAGACCCAAGCAGTTGAGGTACCCATAGCGCTTAGAGAGGGAGCCGATGAAGCAGCTGACGCAAATGTAAATGAGGTATGGGATAAGAGCGGCCCGCAAACGGATGAGGAGAAGAGGGTGTCACGAAAGATACGCTTGAAGGAGAAAATTAATTTGCGCTTTACGCTTGGCGAAAGCGATCTTGTGGGCAACGTCTATCCGGATGAAGAGCAGGACGGCGATGTGGAGGGTGAGATAACCGAGTCTAGAGATGCTCTGCCGACCGCAGATGATGAGCAACCGGATCTTTCCGGTAAGCAAACATCTGAGCAAGACATGCTGGACGAAGAGATCAATGTCGACGACATTTTTGGCGACGACGATGTCGACGACGATTTCGATGAGCCCGAGGTGCGGGAGCCACCCAAAGGCGATACAATAATGGCGAAGGCGAATTTCCTTTCCTATTTCGAGATGCCATCATTATCTGATATATCCGAGGAGCATGCTGTCGAGGAGCCTAAGGCGCACAGAGCAAAATCCCTCATTTCGCAAATCAGTACGGCAACCGATGTTGGTAAATTTGTTAATCCCGTCACCGGGTATGTCGAGAGCGAGTCGACCAGCTCCTCGACCGAGAGCAGCAAAACGGATGATCTGGCCCTTGATTTGGGCGGCGAAAGTGATGATCTTGACATCGACTTAATAGATACTGATTTCCCAGACTTTAAGGACGTCAAGCACATCCAGCTGAGGGAAGATGACGATTTGGACGCGTTTGTTAAATTCAAGAGTAGCTTCATACGCGATGATGTCATTTTTGAGGATCCAGATGAGGCCGAGGCCAAAAAAAATAAACTGGAAATACATAAAATAACAATGGATTTTCTACACGAAATGTTCAACAATGTGGTCAACGAAATGGAAAATCTTAACGAATCCACAATACTCCGAAATAAACTGGATAAGGCCAAGCTGATGCTGACCCTAATAGATGTTACAAATAAGTATAGCGTTGAGAAAGAGATCAATGTTTATATCAATCTGAAAATGGCCGATTATTTCAAGCGCATGAAAAACTATCGTGTATTCGCCAACTTGGAGCCAAACACCAAAGCCAAAGAGCGACTTCGCTATTTGGAGTCTCTAACCCTGTTGGATCACCGTGTTCTGGTCGCTGCAGAGACCAAGAAGAAGAACGCCATACTTATGTCCAGCGTATTGATGGATCTTAGCTATGTGCAAAACATTGCCAGATATACCGAGGAGCATCTGGAGGAGGTCATTATGCGTACGCTGGCCAACAATAAATCGGATTTCATGAAACGTATCATCGAACGTGAAATGCGTCTCATGGCCCAGAAACGCAATGAGATCAGCGACACGCGTCTCTTTCTAATCACCAGGAAGCACACACTGGGACGCATCGTAGATGTACGTATCGAATAATCTTTTACCCTTTATATATTTATATAGAACCAGATCTTAGATAGTTTCATAAGTTAAATAGCTCTGGAATTTAGATAGATTGACTATTTTGCCAAGCTTCCGTTTCTGGTTGCTTGCATAAAAATTCTCAACTAGTTAAAGCAGCTGCTACTTTTCATCTTTTCACTTTGCAGAAAATACACAAACTGGAAACAATTAACGAGGAGCTCTGCATGGACGACTTTATAAGCATTCAAAATCAAGTAGTAGCATTGGACAAAAAAATCGAAGGTAATTAGAATTTCGATACAACGAACAGATCTCAGCTTGATATATTCCTAACGCTTCCCATGCAGAACGCAACAATGAGCTGAAGAAGCTGCGCTATAATTATCACACCGAGCTGCATCTGACGCAGCACAATCGCGAGAAGGCCTTGGCGCTGATCACCAAGCTGAGGAGCAATCGGTTCACGATGCGCAAGATGCAGGACAAGCAGCGCCATCTACGCGAATCTCTTTACAATGCGAAGCTGGAGCGCAGCACCATACGCAAACAGAGCTCGGATCTCAGTTTCCAGGGCGGACTCCTGTCCATGCCGGCCCTAATGCACGACTACGATGAGACCGTGCAGAAAGTGATGGACAAACAGGATGTTGTCAAGGATCTGAAGGATACCTTCAGGCGTGTCAGCCAGCGCATTATCGAACTTGAAACACGCTGTACCTAAATGCGAAGTGTCTTCTCAAAAAATAAACAGAAAACCCAAGGATTTTAGATGTATGCAAAGCTAAATTTTAGAATTTGTATTTGATTTATATGCACAGGGTATTATAATGCAAAGGGTATTTGAAGGAGACATCTGTGACCCCATAAGGGAAACATCGTAAAGTCGGTGCATGTATAAAAAACTTGTTTGTTTTTCAAGATATCTCGACCAAGCTGCCATAGGAACAACTGGCCGAAATTTCAGTTCTTATATGGAAATCTTTTTAGCTTAGCAGGATATCTTCACCAAAACCGGCCTTTTGCTAGTTAAACTATGCTAGCTTTAAATGAGCTAAATTCTGTCAAGAATCAGTCAAACTATGAATTCTTGTATGACATATTTTGTTTTCAAAGACCCAAACGCAGCATTTAAAAGCTTTACTGTACTCCCATATCTGCTAAGCTGTAAGTCAAATGTATGGAAGGGTATCAAGTCTTCGGCGTGTCAAAGATATCCCAGCTCGTTATGATACCTGCAGCCAGCTGTTGCCCTGCCCCACAAATACAACAAATCCTTTAAAAATAATTATATGAAAAAACAACCAAATATATATATTGCTCGAGTTGACCAAGGCTGACATAAATAAATGTGTTTAAGATCACAAAATACCAAATAAATATGCATATATAGGCACATATATAAAAAGGAGAATTATGATTTCCTATATATCAAACGAAGACCTGCATGCATTATAAATGCGCGCCATGACAGACGTATGCTATATAGATATATATATTTATATATCACATATATCTTCACATTTTCAGTGTCAACGTGGCTAACTTATGTTTGTTTTCTTTTCTTTCTGCTTTGAATCCAAAATAATATCATAATTATATATAGCGAAATTGTATCAATTTATATATATATATATATATATATATATATAAAATCTGTACATGTGCGAATTCGATTTGTTTAAACAATTGCGCAAATTTATTGAAATGTAAACAAAATTCTGGCACGCGCTTTCATTTGGCCATAAATTAGTCAGCTATTTATAAAAGGGCATAAACAGAAGCCAATTCTGATAAAAGAAATAATATTAAATTATTATGAAAAAATTAAACAAAGTTCTTTTTTGCTTTTCGTCAAATCAATAAAACTCAAGACTTGCTTTTATTGTTTCTAGAATTTAAAATGAAGCAAAAAAGGATTAAAAATATTTTGCAATATTTTTGTTTTTTTTTTCACTGCCTTGCATAAAATATCTATGAATTATTCATTGTGTACAATTTTGTATTGTATTTGTGTGTTCACTTGAATTTTGTGGAAATTTTGCTTGGTAATAATTAGTTTGTGTATATTTAAAGAATTTTATATTTAGCAAAGACTTGCTGGCAATTAACAAAAACTGATGAAGTACATTTTTCATTTGCATTATAAACAAATACACATTGCCCAACAATGTGAACGAATGCAAAATTCGTGTGCATAAATCAAATCAAAAGCCAACCAATTTAAATGGGGGCGTGAAATTCGGAAAATGTCTCAGACCTAACAGGCATGTGGCCATAATTTTCAGTGTCGTCTAACACCTGCGAAAATGGACTATATTATAGACGAATTTAATAGCTGCCAAGAGAAAAATAAATACATACAAAAAAAATATTAGAATAATATTAATTCAATTTAGGAGAATTAATCAGCTAAATGTTGGACTTTATTCCACTTGATGTCGAATAAAAAGCAGTTCCTGCTGCTGTCTAAGCTATACAGTATTTAAGGTAACCGAAGAAAGAGAAACCTGGATCGAAGCTATATATATATACACACACATATATATGTATATAGAAACTGTTATAAGTAGCTGTCTGCAATGACCTCAAGACGTCTCAGTGGAATTTTTTTGCACATACTTCTAAATAACGGGCTGTTTATATTTTCGTCGCGATATTCAGGTATATATAAATGTATATATAGTATATATATCAGAGCTATGGCAGCCATATTTAGATCATAGCGCATATAGACGCAGATCTATGCGCAAGTGGATAGATGAATAAAATGAATAAATAACAAATACACCCACACAAACGCAACACTTTGATGTGATTAGACTGGAATTGGATTCGTGTTCGAATTGGCCATCAATTTCGTTCGTTCAATTATGCTGCACGTTCTCGGTTTCGTTTTCTCCACAATATCATCATCATTTTTTTATTAATTGCTTTTCATGTATAAATTAACTTAGGCGTATACTTAATATAAGGCGCATCGCGACAAGCCCTTGTGTGTGTGTGTGTGTGCGTACTTGCATTTGTGTGAGTGTTTCATTTTTTTGTGGGTTTTTTTTTTTGGTTTTTTGTGTGTTTTGTGTGAGGAATAGTTTTGTTGTTGGTTTAATGTTTTGGTTTGTAAACTTAACAATTAAACATAGATGTAGTTTAAATAACAAATTAGAAAGACAGACAGAAAGTTGAAGACAACTGCTGAGGGCCAGAGCCAAGCATTTACTTGCCGAGCAAGATTTTGCGACCGGCGCCAATATTCTGGCCAGCCTGGGTGGCGCCCTTGTTGGAGCCAGCCTGGAGACCGACAATGGTTTGGCCAGCCTTCAGCTGTTCCTCGCTGAAGTCGCGCTTGCACTCATCGGCGGGCTTGGGGCCCAGGAAGGGGCCCTTGAATTCGGGATGCTTGTAGGTCTGCAACATAAACAAACCCAGTTAGTCAATCAATCAATCAATCAGTCAGTCAGTCAATCAATTAACTTACGGCACGGCCCAAAGCGAAAATGGTGTTAGTCACATTGGCAATATCCTTCTTCTCGTACAGATCAACAGTCTGGAAGACATCAATATCGGGCACACCGTATTCCTTGAGAGCCTTCTGGAAGTTGTTAAGGTTCTCCATGAACTTGAATTGACCGCCCGATGAGTTGATCTTGGCCACAGCGCCCGGCTGCAGTTTGTTGATCAAATTGCAGAGCACCTGGCCGTCCTTAAGCACATCCTCGTACACCTGACCAGCGGGGAATTTCTCACCAAGAATGGCCTCAATCCATTCCTGGGCCTCTTTGTCCATCTCGGGATTGCGTTTGCCGGCAATCTACAGTCAGATGAGGTCATTTTGCAACAAAAAAATTATTATTATTATTATTACAATTTTCATTTACGGCACCGAACACTTTTCATTTGCATAGTTGAACTATTTTAATTGTATTTGCATGTATTTATATATATATATTTTTATTTATTTCTTTTTTTTTTTTTGTATTTTCACTTTTATTCACCTTGGCACGAACAGCACGTTCTAGAGACATTTTTGAGGTTTGTGTTTTTGGGTGGGAGTAAACAATTTGTAAGATCTTCACCAAAGCTATTGCAAGCCTACACTGATGCCCGGCCACAGGGCGTATGCGGCTTTTAAAGCGCGAGAGCAAGAGCTGAACGCACACACGCACAACACAACACACACAGACAGATACACACTCCGATGCTGTTCAAGAATTTTCCAAAAATATATCCGAATTCGGAGTCGTCTATACGAACGAGCGCTTGCTGAGCAAAGGCGTGGGTGTGTACTGTACCATATCTGACATGCGAGCGTGTGTGTGTGTGTGTGTGTGTTAGTGTGTGTGTGTCTGTGTGAGTATGTGTGTGTGTGTTGTTAGCAATTTATTTCTCAGTGTTCCGACTTTGAGCGTCGCCATCTCGCATGAGTCGTGCGTTTTAATTTTAGACCAGCAACATCCAAAAACTTAGCTAAAAATCAATTTCAATAATTTTTCACACATATTGTGAAAATAGACGCGCGCCCCTAAGTAAATGCTTACAGCTACTGCTGCTCTTTCTTCTTCTTCTACATGTTATCGTTGTTCTCATAATCCAATTTACGCATATATATATACCATATATATATATATATATATATATATGTATGATCATCGAGCTGTGTGTTGATCTTTGAAAATTTCCACTCTTTTCGGACTTTCGGCATTTGGCCAGCTGTCTTGTTGCATTTGTTTTTTTTTTCTCCCCCCCATTGCTCGTAATTTCCACTTGGAATCGGAATGCATTGGATCATGCTTAAAATTGGCATTGGAATTGGCCACACCGAGTGCTGAATGAATTAGAATTGTGCAAAAAGTGCTGCAAATATGCGAATTTCACGTAATTATAAAAATTACTTTGTTAAAATATTCATTTTGGGATCAGTTGGAATCAATGTGGAAATGTGGGCTAAGTAAATGGACATTTATAGCTCAGATAACTCCTTAATAAACCTATCCAGAAAAAGAAAAAAATAGCAAATTAGACTTACTTTCTTCTTAGCTCTGCATATCTTATCAATTTTGTAAATTCTTGAATGTTATTTGAAATTCCTGAATGTTATTCACACAAAACAGCACGAACAAAACACTTTAAGAAATATAAGGAAAGCCTACCAATGGACTCCGATAAACAGACAACCTTAGCGACAACTAAATTCGCAGCAGCTATAAGCAGAACAAATGGACCCACTTCAAGAATGGTCGAAAGCAGCCTTGCCAGCACAGAGTCCGAATTGGATGCTGAAATAGAGCGTTTCGGACGGCGTGAAAGTGAAAGTGAAATCGAAACCGATGAAGAAGTTCGAGAAAATACACTTAAAAATTCGCAGCAAAAGAAGGCTGTGGACGAGAACAGTGAAATTTGCGAAAACGCTGAGGCCAGGCAAATTTCCAGTGATGGGGAATCCCCGGAAGAAGAATCGAAGCGGGCGGCACGCAAGGCACGCCGGAAGGATGCGCGTAATATACGTTTCAATATCTCCGATTCCGATATACAGTTAGACGAAAAAAGTGAGAACCCAATACAGTTGCAAACAGAAGTAAAAGTAAGCAATGAAGTCGTTGCGACGGCCTCGTCGAGTACTCAAACGAGTACGAATCATTTAGAGTGTAAAGATACAACGGGAATTGATGTGTTTTTTGACGAAGAAGATGATGAAGATGATGAGGATGAGGATGGGTTGTTGAAGACGACAAAGGAGGACACAATCAAGGCTAAAATGGAATTTTTAAACTTTTTCGAAATACCCTCCC